ATTCCTAATTTGCCTACAATTTGCAAGATTTTTAAACACGCAGGTAGTGTTGGGAGCGTACTGCTCGACACCATGGGAACGAGGTTCATGGGATGGTGACTTGTGTTCTGTGTTTTGATTCCATAAAGTAATAACATATAATTGTATTTTGTGATCTAACGTTTAAATGTTCAAGTGTCGTATTCGCTTGAGGTTGAAAAAAAAACCTGAAAGCTGCAGTCGCCTATAAAAAAATACAATTTTGCAATATCCAGCAACGACCTCATTAAAAAAGAGACTCAAAATCCGAACTAAAGATCAAAAGTACCGCGTCACTTCGTTTTTAATTTAAAACATGTTAGGCCAAGTTCAACACAACGCCATCTGTGTTCTTCGTCAATTATCAATTCCCGTGATTGGTTTCTGCCGCCGTTCCCTCCGTAGTCACTTATCTTCAATCCTCAATCCTCAAGTGCACGCGTTCCACATTATTTTATGATGAAGTGGATAACACGCTATGCGCGCATTTCCTCGTTCTTAATTAGCATTAATGTGCAACCTTAATGTGGTCAACCAAGCAAGAACGCGGATTCGTCCATTAGGGCTACCGCTTACCCAAAATGCTTCAAATAAATGTCAAAAGAGATAAGCAGCAGTTAAGTAGCTGTGCGCAGATTAAGGTGAAGGATACGCACGTAAAGTGCGAGGAATTATCATGACTCGATGAAGTGTTAATAAACACTTTCAGTGTTGGGTTTTGCCCTTCACTGGCGTAGATTTATAAGCACTGAGTGAACTCAGTGCCGTCTTAAAGAGTTTGCGAGAAGAAAATACCACACGAGCTTGCTTGGGTGGGAATCCCAGCCTTGACCTCCTCCTTACTAGTACAGACGTCGTAACTACTCAGATGTCTGCACAGACGTCTTAACCACTCGGCCACCGAGATATTGGATCGTCTGGACGGTTTGAATATCAAACCGCAGTCAGTATCTTTGTATAAAATCACTACAGGAAAATTGGTATTTGATAACATAACGATCCTTACAAATTGAGTATGTATTCTAATGAAATTCAAACCACCTTATTGGATAAGTTGCTGAAGACTGAAACTGGCGAGCGATTTCGATAATATAATTTGACCGTAAAGAGATTATAGGCCTACGACACTACCAAGCGTTTTTTCGGCATGTGACCTAGTGACGCAATGGACTGTACTGTCGGTTTTAATTGGATTATCGTGGACGTAAAATGGACGTTGAAATGACAGCATGTCAAATGGAATAATTTGTTTTTTTCATTTCAGTCTCGAAGGTCGGTCTCAATTATTCGATGTTCAGTTTACGGGCGTTTGCAAATGCCCTTACGGCGATTTAACCCTGGAAATCGAGCGCACGAACACCTGCAGATATTTGCGTTTGTTCATCCTTAAACTGTCTACTCAAAACAGTTAATGCAGACTCGGCATGCACGAGTCATCGAAACGAGTCATCAAAACCAGTGACGTTTCGTTTACTACTAAGACTATGCCACGCCCATGCGCGCATTGGCGAGATATAATTGATGGAAAGTTGGCATTTTGTAAAACATTGGACTCAACGCTCATTATGACAGGACGTATTTGTAAAACTGTTCTGCCATTATCTCCAGATGACGAAAGTTGGTAAGACGGTTTCGAGTTCTGGAAACAGGACATATTTTTTTCCCGTCTTTGTGATATATTACCTTTAAAATCATCAGCAGTTATGTTTAAGTTCTTCAGATACAATCAAACAAGGTTAAACAAAACAGAAGAAATTTGAACCGCTGACCCAGGACGTAATGCACTCTAAAAACTCCCAGGTCAAAATGACCCGGAAAAGTGTCACTTTTGACCCGGAAAAGTGTTAGGCCAAATAGAAGCAGTTTTCCGTTATCTGACCCCGGAGATTTTAGATTGTGGTATCAACTTTAGCCAGTAGACGGTGAGCACAAAGTCGCATAAAGACCTTTTAACAGAAAATTCACGAACATCCATGCACGAACAATTTCAGTTTTCTTTTGATATGCACTAATTTCTTCTATGATATGGGTCAGTTAAGTGTTTGCGTGTGTATACTGAATTCCCAAACACACGACTAATCTGTGTTTTGGGGTTAACAAGTCATGCGCTTGGAAGTTATTGGATGGGTTTGTCGTACATTGCGCGGCAACGGAGTAACTGCTGTGCTACGCACCGTGTCTTTGGTCGACCTCAGTGAGTCGGTGTCCTAGATGTGAAATTATTTCGGATACTTTACGCATTGTTGGATACGTGATGTAGGACTAAGTGGGGCAATTATGTGGGGTAAATTGACGATGTGTCATAATTTTTTCGGATCTGAATGGTGTTGTTTCCAAGTAGCAGTGGATTGTGAGGTCTTCACTTTGTTGGCAAACTTATGATGGTGGCTCATAGATGGGTACAGTGGGAGAAAAAGGCAATTAATGAAAGAATACTTAACATCACTAATCATGTCAACGTTATATGGCTCGCACGTCGCAGACTTCTCGGTACCACACACTCATTGGCTTGTAAACCAAAGCAGTGACGTGTACCTTACATAGGTCTAGTTTGGACTTGAAGGAATATGATGGTACCTTTTTTTGTAACCTGCCATGAAGTTTTAAGGAAACACTTAAAAACTTGGACATTTATTTCCTAGAGGGTGAGACACGTCGACTCTTCGACTCTTGTTATTTTCCCCTGCGGTGGTTTTTAATTAGTATCGATGGAAGAGAATCGATTCCCCGCTTTGGGGGAATTGTTGCTGGCGAGTAATGATATCTGCGCCGTGATTAATTTTGTCTTTGGGGGAGAGGGGGGTGGAGAGACGATACTTGTGAAAAACGGAAAGCGGAAAGGAAAGAGTGTGAAGTGTTCCCATTTGCGATTGATCGGCCCGGAAGGAGAATCGCCGACCACAAAGAAAAGCAACACTTTATGATGTCACCGGCAAGCAATTAATTAAAATAGCCCTCTCTTGACGAAGTTAAACAATTATAGCCTCTAATGCAGATTGTGTCGATGAAAACATCTCTGAGGTAGATTGTTTTTCGTATCTTGTAACGCTGTCTGAATCTGAGCGCCAAAAGGTCATAACCTTTGCATCGTGATTGTCAAGATGGCGTCAGGTGGATGATAAACGAACTCTCTGATTGGACATCATTCAGAGCCATTCCTTCGGTTGACGATAAAGTGTAGCTAAGTTACCTACTATTTTTCTTCACGTTTTTATACAGTTGGCCCTACTGCCTGACTCTCCTTAATTGCAACTTCCATGTTTAATACACCCATTTTGAATTTTCACATTCGAACGTATTATCCTTAATTTTAACTACTCTTGCATGTACAAAATCGGACGCGCAATACTGTTCGATTTCTGCAAATTTAGTTTTCAAAAATGATGCGTCATTGTTTATGACAATCTCGAATTGCTTTTGGCAGATCAGTTTATAAAGAACCGAAATTGTTGCAGTACAATGTTTTTTGCAAACCGCAAGTTTAGCCCAAGCATTCCAAACAAGGCTAACTCTGGATTCTCCCGTCTTTGGCTCAAGTTGCTTTTTAAACACCCCTGGACTGGTGAGCAATTTCCAAAATAAATAGGAGATCATTCCCGAAGCCGAGTACCACATTCGGAACTTGGATTCCCCACGGGGACAGCGTCGAAATCCCTCCGGATAATTCTACCGTTTCCAATCAATACGGCTTTCTCCTGGGATCAGATTTTGATCAACCTGTGGGTATCCCCTTCGCTCTGGGCGTAAAAATAAGTCATTTTCCCCTCCTTTAAACATAATTTGTTGATGCGGTGAAAGAAGTGGAACATGAAGAAACTAACCAGTGCTTACATTGAGATGGGGAATTTGACAGATTGGCTCGCAATTATACAGAAGAAGCCAGCATTAATGTCCCAGAGGACCGGATTTTTTATTAATTTATTTTTTTGGTAGACGAGAAACTTGTTCCAGCCCCGCCTATGGTTTTCAATTCAATCATAACAGGAAGATTTGATTCAGTCTTGGCCCCATTTCATGGCTCTACTTTATCCCTGCTTACTGTAGCAAAAAAAATCCGTGCTTACGGTAAGCGTATTTCACGGGTTAACAAGGAATGTTGGCTTCTGCGCATGCGTACATCCCGTAACTAAGGGTTTTGTGCACACAGGGTTTATTAGCACAGAATTTTTCTGCTATCGCGGTAAGCACAAAATCGTGATCGATTTTCTGTGGTTAGCAGAGCCATGGAATTGGGCTCTGTTATCCAAAGGTCTGCTGGCACACAAATTGACTGAATGCCGTGAAATCTACTGTAGAGGGAGAGAAAATGAATTTCCAGAGAGAGGAGATACATTGACCCAAATCGTAAACTGATAATGTTCGGAGTTGAACGCCACCGTTATATATCAAATATGGATACGGGATATCTAAGAAGTGACTGTAGAATAGTAATTGCCACCACTTCGGCTTCCTGAGCGTCATCCCTAGCTACATGATGCACACTGGTTTACGGTTAGCTCCTTTAAAAAAAAACTCACGAAAAAGCTGCTTGTTATTGTTTATCTTGCATATTATTGGCAATGTGAATTACACATCAAAATGTTAAGGTGTGTAATAATCATAGGGGGTTTGGTGAGTTAACCACAGAAAAATATGGTGATTTAACCAGATCCGAGCCACATAATTACGTATCCCGTAGGACTACCCGCACGTACCATTTCTAATGTTTCATAACGATTTCCGAGACTGCCAACATTACAGCTGAGTAGCTCATCGGAAGTCGCAGGTTCAAATCCCGCGAAAGTCAATTCCTTTGCTCAACATAATACAATAAGACCACGGAGCTTTCTCAGTGAAGGCTGTTCCACTGTAGTATCCTGCATCCTACCTTGCTTCAACATCACGTCAATTTAAAACAACGTCTGATCTGAACGAAGGTCTATTTTTAGCTTACAAAATGGTTTGACGATTAAAGAGATTTCTCTGTTTTGTTGGCAGGTTGGCAGTCAGATAGAAGAGGAGCAGCTAGATCATTACTTAATCAGTAGAGAGGAGTGCATGAACCTTACGGTGCAATCGACGCTGCCCGATGATGGTAAGTCGAAACTTAAAAAAAAAATGATTGCAATGCTTTCTCAACTGTAAGCTTCGTTTATTTGTGTAATTTAACACAAACCGACTTCACATCTTATATTTCTGAAAAAAATGCATTGACGTTATGAGCGACCTGATGAGGGCGCTATTAGCCTAGCAAAATGGCGGTCGAAGCTCGGTTACATTTCGCTTGTCTACGCACGGTATTTGTCCATTTACATTTTCAAATGTATACCAGCGAAGGCGAGGTGCGTTGTAAAGAGAACAAAGGCTGGTTTCCAGCTAATTCATTACAGACTTGTCTTCGAAGAGCGGGGGCGGTATCCAGTCTCCATAGAGCTACGGCGTTGTTAGTTTTTTGTTTTTACAGTGTGGTTTTTTTTACCAGACGCTGTCGCTTGTTTTGTCTGGTTTTATTTTAGTCCCCTAGGATCCCACAACCCAAGTTTTCATTTCTGGACGAAATGACATTTTCTGAACAGCGCGTTCGTGACATTTATTCTTCAACAGTGGATTGAAATGTATTATTGCGATCGTTGTGAAGCATAAGCTCTTAGATGCTTGTCAGAAATGTCAGACTGCTACTTCGGGTTATTATTTGCTCAAGGATCTTATAGACGCAATTACCTTTGAACAATCGTTCGGAAGACGTACTTGGACTACATCGTTTATTCCCTGACACAGCAAGGGGAAAACATTGTACTAATACTAATACAACCTTACATCATAGCTCTATTGGCGTGTATACACATGTTTGTTTGGACTGTTGCCAACTGTTAGTTGAGCGACCGAATGCCGTTCCGTAGCACGTACGGTTTGACTACCTGGTCCGTTCATTTCCCGCGTAAGTTAATTTGCAGTTGTGTAATTAAGTTATCTGTGAGCTTTAATTCCGTTTGACGTAAATCGGATGAGGACGCAGCTGGCTTTAGCTAATACAAACTTCTTATTAATTGCTTGTATCCCCTTCAGGAATTCACCTTTTTTCACAAAAAGGACGTGGGAGAGCAAAGCTCTTTGCACGTTTTAAAAAAACAAAATCATTTAATTCGGAAGATTTTGAGACTTTTAAGTGGCAGTCTTGTTAATCTTCTGAAATCTCATTTGAGGATTTTTTTATACGGACTCCAGCTGAAAATAACTTGTGAAATGAATCGGGAAAAATGTGTGTGCTGCCACCAAGCGTCGACAGCAGACCTATGCTGTGGTTTCAGTAACCGGTGAATTTTACTTCTCTTTGTATTAAAGTGTGACGTCATTGCAACTTTCACCACTTGACTCAGACGTGATCCAACCCACAATTATCAGTAGTGATGAAACGGAATGTAAAATTCTTTACTGCCAACATCGTCTTGACAAACATATCACTGTATGGTTAGAATTTCAAAACCGATACAATTACATTGTGCTAGGCACGAAACAGTGAAGACCCAGATGACTGCAGTGCGGATCCGTTGACCATTTCACACTGTTTCTGATTTAAGGGAGAATGTTTTTAAATATTCATCTTGCCATAACCCGGGGATCCGGGGGAAAAAAACACCTGTATCGTTTGTTTGACAAAACGTCGTGTGCCGAGTCCTTTTCTCCTGTACTTCAAAAATGGCTTTCATTGTAGTACACAATGTGTTCAAGTAAGTGTTATCGAGCTAACTTCATCGCTAGAGCGAGAATTTCAGCCGATAGAACGTCAATCTGACTTTCCAGTTTCGGAATCCACTGTCCGTAAGGATGAAATCAAGCGAGCGCAATACCAGGCCTCGATGCCCTCAAGTCTGTTTTCTAGGTCCATCAACATTTTTCTATCAGCCCTCGCAAATTGTCGTTATATTTCCCCATTGATTTTCCGGAGTATGGGCCCATCTGCTCGTAATTCCGCTTCCTCCGGTATAAGGTCACACCTGGCTAGCCAATGGCCTGCCTTCTTCCCAGAGCGCCTGAGGTATGTACTGCCTTACGACTCTCTCGTCGTCCTAATTTCATTAGCTCGATTTATGGGGGTCGTACACGCGAAACGCGCCCCTGGGCTTGGGATCGATCCGAGCAGGTTGCAGGTATGTAACGCCAAATTATCTGCAAACCGTAATTCGTCTCTGTCCGGATTCAAGAATCGAACCCTCCGTTCACAAAAAAGAAGAAGTTGGTTTGTTCCGCTATATCGACTTTTTTTGTGACAGTCCTCTGGCCGTATTCGCTTTTTGTATACGGTATCAAAATATTAGGACAAACGGAATGGCCAAGAGCGAAGAACTCATGCAAGGTGGTTGGAACTTGCCCCTACAAGCCTCAGTGTTGTCGGGTCCACCACGAGTCCGGTAAAACTAAATCACAAGTAATACTCAAGTCCAGTCACAAAGGAATGCTTTTGACACAATTCTGGTCGGAGTGGTCGGAGCTTGCCCCTACAGCCTCAGTGCTGTAGTTGAGTCCATCACATTGTCTGGTATAAAACGTTGATTTACAAGTCTCTTTACAAGTCCTGTCACAAGAACAAAAGAATGTTGTTGTCACAGGTCATTGGGATAGCCTGTAACTGACTTAAGAATGTGAGAGCTTATGATGGACTTGTGAGGTCTTGTGATGACTTACGATGGACTCATGGATGTCCATCCAGTCGTGCAAATAGGGCCTTAATAAAAGCTGTTTAAACAAAATGTAAAAAATGTATTCAGTTAAAAAATAAAACAGAGATTGATCGATGTTAATCTTGTAGGTGTGACTAAGGTATCACGGAGTCTAATTTCTTTTGAGGAAAATAATCCCAATTCTCTTCTAGCTAACAAAGATACAAGAAGTTCGTGCGTGAAAAGACTCTGACATGGTCACAAGAGAAACTATTGACTTTTTGACAACGGAACTTAATCTGTAAGAAGAAATAAACTATAATGATACCAATGCGTCATTGCATGACACAACTATACGACTTGATAAACGCAAGTTACGTGTTGTCTTTAAGTTCTTCAATCTATATCGATTTCCATTCGATAGTCCTCTCTTTACGCGCGAATCCATCGGCCCTCAATCGCGCGGTTTGTTCCGGCAGTATCTGGTTCCCTGACTCCCACGATCCCAAGCTCCATTTGTAGATCATGACTCGATTTGTCTCAGATCGTTCGGGGACCCGGGTGTTGACCGAGGCTCGTTGAGTTACGCAATAATCTGCGTAACCGGGCCGACCGGATTCGGCTGGACCGGGGAGAAAACAGTCACCTGAGCTCGCTGCGTGAAATTAAAGAAAGCGCCGCAATCAATTGGTTGTAGGTCGGTATCTGAAAGGGGTCTTCGAGTAAGCCATCGGGCCTCGAAGGACTGCGAAGGGCGAATAGTCACTCGCTGCACTCTCCAACAATACAAGTATATCATAACATGAACAACATATACGAGGGTTGTCGCAGAAGATTTGATTTCCTCAACAAATTGGATTTCATGAACCGTCGCGTTTGACAGGCAGTTCATTTAAAGTACGTGACGGTTTGTTTCCCCCCACGGAACTGGAGGCTTAGAGATAGGAATAAAGGATCGAATTACGTCCCCGTTCAATGTGCAGCAATATTGCAAAGTTCTCGTTGAAGTTAACGATGGTTTGCCCAGTGTTAACTGAACTTTGTATAACTATAACAAGCTTGAAATACTGTCTGTCACTTGTTTTATACACTGAAACGAGCAGTATCACCTTGCGATTGTCGTCTATAACATTTTACCCGGAGGTATGGGCTCATTGTAAGAACACTCACACTAATTTGCAATTTAGCTGCCGGGACAGCATATCGCAGCTCTTTTTTGCCCCTAAATTTCTACCATGGCTTGTCAACTTACGGAGCACATCAATTCCTCTTTATGAAGACATGTTGTTTCCCGAAGCAGTTCGTTAGTCCGTCCCGTATTGCACTCTAGAGAGTACCAGACAGTACTTAGGGTCTAAGTGGATAATAAATCTAGCTGATTTAGTGCATCGTGGGACTTCGCGTACGATATGTTATCTAGAAAATTTAATGTCGGAATCGTGAGCATGTGAACTAAACGTATTACCAGCGAGGTGACTACGCCCCCACATCTAAAAGCTTGTTACCCCACCTCCGCATAGAATTTGAAAAAAATTAAATGAGGGTTTTATTGTTCAAAACCTCAAGAGAATGAGACCTTGAAAGTGCCCCCCCCCCCCTGCAACATGGACCGTAAGCCGCTGGGGATTAGACCGGGGAAAAAATGATATTAGAAGCCCACAATAAATTTCTGACTGATCAGGGAAGTATGTTACAGGATGTCATCTGTGCACTTTTACCGAATTAAAGGAATTGAAATCGCGAGATCAAGTTTATCACATATTGGTGTTTCGTGAGACAATTTCGATTTTACTCAACTTAACTCCAATCCTCATTCTCGATTTCACCTCTTTTGTCTTTTTATAAAGTTTCTGGAGTACTTTTTACCCGTTTGTTTTACCCTTTTTTTTGTATAGGGAAATAGAAAAGAAATACGAAGAGTTTATTTTCCGAAACGCGACATGTCCATTTGAAAAAGTCGAAAATTGTGCATGGTTCTGAAACTTTAAAGACTAAAAACAGTATAACAGCTGTTTCTAGAGTTCATTTTTCGCTTTATTGAATTCTTAGGTTGTGCTTAAGTATATACATGTAACAGCCGTCGAAAGTGTTTTTGGTTAGACAGGGGATAGCAGGATTCTAAAGGGGAACACGGTGGCGTATATCGCGTTCCGAAAATAAACTCTTCATATATGTACTCTAATATTTTTCTTATTCACAAATGTCAATTCCATATAGGCAGGTTAGATCCCAATGCTGAAGTATTTCTTACTACCGAAGTATATTCGTTTGAAGAAATGAAATCGGCTTATTAGTTCTTATAGGCTATTTTTGGAGAAAAATATAAAGAAAAAAACAATTAATAATAGCAGAAAAGCCAAGCGATTTTTTTTGTCTTATTCTTCAATGGTATTCTCAAATGAGAAGGTCGCAGCATATATAGCCCTAGAGTATATTT